GGGGAGGTGGGTGGTGGTCAGGGAAGCAGAGGCCTGTCCTCCACAGTCCTCCACAGGAGGCCTTCCCCTCCCTCCTGTAGCCTGTGCAGACCCGATAATTTCAGTACCCCGCCCTCTTCCATGAGGGCCTTCGAGGGTCTTGCAGAAGTGGCACCACTACAACTCGGAAGTGTAGTGACCCCGCCTGCCTTGAACCCACCCCCCATGCACACGCCCACTCATCCTGCAAATTGAGCGGTTCTGGCCCCGCCCTAGCGCTGTGTGTGCAGCGAACTGACCTCCTATCGGTCCCCGCAGGCACCCGGCTGCCCCCCGATAGCGCCAACCGTGTCCCCCGCCCTCCTTCCTCCTCCTAGCAAGCGGTGCAAGAGATCTAGCACCATCCGCCCGCCAAAGCGTGTTTACAGTCGCCTGCAGCCAGGTCCTGTTCTCCCACTACCCCATCCGCTTCACAGGGCCACTGTGAGCTTGACCGCCTCCAGCCAGGAGCTTTGACCTACCCCGCCCTTGCGATTTCTACCATGTCCCAGACTCCTTCAAAACACAAAACAGAGCCAAATGTGTTGGCTAATCCCACCCCAGCAACTGGGAGGTAGAGGCAGGAGGATCAGGAGTTCAAGCCCAACCTCAGTTACATAGTGATTTTAAGGGCAGCTTGAGCTACATGAGACCCTGCCTCAAAAACAAAAACAGAACAGGCATGGGGACACTTGCCTTTAATCCTAGCAGTTGAAGGCTAGCCTTGTCTACCTAGTGAGATCTTATTTCAAACAAACAGCCAAACAATCTTAAGACCTTCTAAGACTTCTCCGCCTGGCATCACTACAGGGTCAGACATCGACAGACACCAGTTTGGCCCCTAGGACCCCATCTGGAGGTTCAGAGGACTTATAGCCCCTGGGACCCAGGCTGGGAATTCACGCCATAGCATCGCCCTCTATCACTAATGAAAAGGTACCCATGTACAGCTCTTACCTTTGCTCTCAAACTTGGGGTCCGGGAGACTGGGTGAGGGAGCCCAGGCTGCCCCAGCAAGTAGGAGACAGAGGGGGCCAACCCGAGGCCAGAGGGGTGCCCTGAGGTGGTCCATGATGCAGCCCCAGCTTCAGGAAGCCCAGGGCTCCAGCCCCTCTGTGTCCCCCCTCCCGCTCCCCTCCCCTTTGCTCTTTCCCCCTTTCCCCTAGTCCACAGCTG